AAATTCTATTTATTTTCTAATATTTTGTATAAATTTCTTCGATAAATATACGGGCGAACTTGCGGTCAGTTGAGTCGAGAGATAGCGAATGAAAAAAACCAAAAACGAAAAAAAGAGAATAGCAAAATGTCAAAAAGACGATTGCTTGTTAACCCTTGGTATGGTGCATGAGTATTAACCCTCACATATTACAATATCGAATACCTACTTAAAAAATACAAAGTCGAACCCAACAAGAAGGTAGACACGGAATATATTACCTCAAGTGATTGTGACGTAGGGTGGTGGCTGATGGTCGTTCCCTGCAGATCTCCAGAAAAGAAGTGCCCGCGCTGTTTTCAGTAAAATTAAGTTCAACCTCCATACAGTACAACTATTTGGAGGGGAAACTTGACGATGGTTAATTTGGCAGGAAAAGTGTATGAACTTTGTGATCATTTCCTACTACATAAATGTGCACGCATGTGTGCGTATACAATTAAGTATTAGGGGGATCCATCTTGAATTGCTTGGTTTAGTCTACAGGCCTAAACAGTTACTTTGATACTTGTTTGTTCACAAATGCCCCATTTTGATTCTTTTGGCTCGCAGAAATTATTTGTTGAAAACTACGAATAATATTACTAGTTTAAAGGAAAATAATTTTATTTTTTTTATTTAAAGTCTTCAAATTTTATGTGTAGATATTTATAAGTTTTATTTGGTAACTCTTATAAGGGAAATACAGCCCGGAACTTCTATGCACACGCCGCTGCTATAGGGTCCCTAAACACAAAAAAAAAAAATATTTGGGCAATATCGGGCTTTCGTCGGTCGTTTGTGTGGTGTATGGGGTTGTTTGTACCAAATTGCATAGTTTTGCGCTCAAATCAAAATCATTTTGACATTTTGCTCATGCTTGTGTTATTGTACAATAATTTGTGTTGCGCATGGCGATAATTGCGCAATTTTTAGTCTACTTTTGATTTTGGTGCCTAGATCGTGCTGTAAAATATGGATAAGAGCACAGGAAAAAATAAAATTCTTTTTTGATGTTCTTTTTTCCACAATATTGACTTGCACATGTCTCGGGTTGCGCAATGATTTTGTATGGTTTAGGGGCCCTATAAGTTTGTTTTTCGTTATGCAAATTAGCACACAGATTCTCTGTTTTTATTAAAGCAAGTAAAATATATATTTTTTTAATAACTATGAATTGAACTATACAATTTTATTCAAGAACATAACAGTTATCAGTTTTATGGGAAAAATGGTGTTCGAGTTATTATATGAGAAATATGTTTTATTTGGCCGATAAGAGTTGTAACCCAACGTTTACTTTTTATGTTGTCTGATAACTGTTATGCAGGAGAAATATGTTTTCCATTGCCAATAAGAGTTATTTCCAAACATTTATTTTTAACGTTGATTGACAACAGTTATTTCCCAACGTTAATGATTTACGTTGCTTTAAAACAGTTTTTAACCAACTTTTATTTTTACGTTGTTACGTTACAATTGTTTCACTCCTCTTTTATTTTCATCATCTTTATCTTCTTTTCCATCTCCGTTTTCGTCAATATTCTTATCTTACAATGTTTATAAGACAACGTAAATAATAAACGTTGGATAATAACTGCTATGAAGCAACGTGAAAAATAAACCTTGTGTTATAACTCTTATCGGCGAAATAAAAAATATTTTTCATCTAATAACTCTTATGAAACAACGTTTTCGTTAAATTTCAGTATTTGGGCAACGTTTTCAGTTCGTATTATTCGTTTTTAAAAAGTTTAAAAAGAACAGTTGTGTTTGCTTCCTGCTTGGTAACTGATACTTTTTTTTCAAGCTCGCGGCAACGCTGATTGCTAGCTCTTGTGGCTCAGTTATGCATACTTGGCATTGCATCAGAGTTGTCACATAAGGAATCTGTTAAATGAGCTTTGCGTGTAAGCGGTTACCCAGCGCACAGCATTACATATCGTCAATTTTTTCCCCAGCCATACGGAGCAAACGCATAATTTGTCCAAAAAATACGGGATTTACAAAAATTGAACGGGACAAATGAGAAATAAAGGATTTGCTTTAAAAGCCCAACTACGAACCATATATTAACAAAGGTGATCCATTTCAAAGAAGTAATGTTCAGATTAGTTATAAACTTATGATGAATTTCGTTTATTTCATGACAACACTTTTTAATTTATACAGAAACATGTATGTACGTAGACATATAATTGACAAAACCTCAAAAACAAAGAAAGAGATACAGTTTTGGTCAAAATAATAGCAGCGAAATTCAAAATGATGCTATTGGCAACTTATCTTTATTTATTGTTAATAATTTTCATTTAAAATATGGGTCGATCTAAATCAAATACCACATTAAATAAAAGCTTGCACAAAGTTCACAAAACCTAATTAAACTTAAAAAATGTTTATCAAAATTTCGATTTTTTAAATTAGGTTTTCTAGAAAGATTTCGAGTATGCAGTGCAAGTTTCAAGTCGCTAAAAATTACCTTTGATTTTTTTAAATTTTTTGTGGAGGGTGTTGCCAATTTTCTTCCATATAAGTCAGGTTTGTTCATGCGTTATATGGAAGAACATTCGCTTCACCCTCCACAAAAAAAAATCTTAAAAATCAATGGTAATTTTTAGCTATATTTCTCTTACAGAATTGCGTGCAATAATGCTTGCTAATGACCTACTCACAATAGCCGCGTTAAAGCATGACAATGTTGAGTAGAAGTTTACATAGCCCAATCACTTTTAGATTTTTTCAACGAAAAAATTCCGGGAAGAAATTTTTTGACGCAGTTAGGTGTCTCCTGTTTAGGTGAACACAAAATGAAAATTTTTCCGCCAATTGCGATATGGGAAGTGCCCGCCATATTGGATTTTGTCTTTTTACGATTTACGCGCGGATTTTGCATTAGATTTTTTCAACGAAAAAATTCTAGGAATACATTTTTTGACGCAGTTAGGTATCTCCTGTTTAGGTGAACACAAAATGAAAATATTTCCCCCAATTGCCCAATTCATGTGCCTATCATTTTTTTAAACAATTATTTATTGCTAATAATATGCAACATCGCAAAAAAATATAGAAAAAAGGTTTTTTCTTAACAGCGGTCGTCCCTCGGCAGGCAATGGCAAACCTCCGAGTGTATTTCTGCCATGAAAAACAGCTTCTCATAAAAATACAATCGCCGTTCGGAGTCGGCGTAAAACTGTAGGTCCCTCCGCTTTGTGTGACAACATCAAGGCGCACGCCACAAACCGGAGGAGAAGCTCGGCCAAACACTAACATATGTGTAAGCGCCAATCTATTATTATATTATTAATATGCAAAAAATACCCAAAATTAGGTAAGTGGCGCGGTTTCTTCGAATTTTGATCATCTAAATGGCAAAGTTCTAGAGGACAAAATTTCCAATAAACGCATTACTTATATGTTTGCGTACGACGTGTAGATCTCGACCAGCAACGCGCTCAATGCAGCGGCAAGGGGAAAGCTACTCAAAACTTTTTTCACAGTATCTCGGAGGTCGTGTTTTTTGGCGCGTATTTTCAACTGTGGGTTCACCAATAGACAGAGCCCATGAATAACTATTTTCAGTCAGTTGAAACTGTAATTAGCAAATAGTTTTTGTCCTGTTATCAATTCGACTTTTCTCTGATCCTAAAGAGTTTTATTGTGGCGAAAATAACTATGTGTGGATTAGGACTACTGGTGAAACCACATAAAAATAAAACGCGCAAATAACTTTACCTCTGAGGTGGTGTGGAAAAAACTTTTGAGTAGCTTCTCCCTTACCGCTGCATTGAGCGCGTTGTTGATCGAGATCTACACGTCGTACGTGAACATATAAATAATGCGTTTATTGGAAATTTTGTCCTCTAGGACTTTGCCATTTAAATGTGCCACTTATTTCAAAAAGAAATTGCTCAAAATTCGAAAAAACCGCGCCACTTGCCTAATTTTGGACATTTTTTGCATATTATTAGCAATAAATAACACTATGCGACAGTCCAAATCGGGATGGGATGAAACCAACGGGAAATGTTATATCGGTCAAAAACAAGTTATACGTGCCCCGGCGTTTCGCACGAAATCTCGGGATCCCGGGATTGACATCCCTAATACAAACAGACGGACAGACGGACATGGCTAAATCGACTCAGCTCGCCGTTCTGAGCATTTAAGTATATATTTTAATAGGTCTATCTTCTCTTATTCTGGTACTTACAAATATCGGACCAAAGTTATAATACCATTTCATGCTCATGAAAGGTATAAAAAAAGGTAAGACTTTTTAAAAAGTGGCATATAACTCTGTTGTTTTTGGTACTAACACCTAAACATTTTTATTGAAGGAGTATTTAATACATCCTACCAAAATCTGTGAAAAACGCAGTTTCGAAAAATGTGTTGGTTAGGACCTTTGTGAATTAAGGTAACGATATGAAGTATGTTGCTTTTTGATTTCTACGTAAAAATTACGTGCTATTCAGTGCACTGCAAAGTACGCATAACTGAACTATTAGACTACATGAGTCTGGCACCAGTGACGCACTTAATCTTATGTATGTATGTATGTATGCAGTGAATTCTTCTTCTCTTGACAGTTACATTAATATGTTTAATTGTACTGGGTTATTTTGAAATCATCTAATGTTTGCACAAAAACTTGATACTATTGAACTAGGAGGGTTGATTGCTAATTAATGAGTTTTTTTTCAGAGAAGGGTCGAATCAAATCTCGCTATGTGTAAATACCGTTAATAAAACTATTTTCCGTCAACTTTTGCCTACATACCTACTTAGAACCTAAAATGCTTAAAATTAAGTTATCACAATTTGTGGGCCGTCGCGTTTATGATCAATAGCGCATGTCAAGTGTGTACAGGACTCCAGTTCGTGAATACGTTAGTAGTATGTGCTATGTGCACACAGATCCATATATATGTATGTATGTGTAGTAGTATGAACAACAGTCCATGCTCTTTTGTACTCACTCGTAAACTTCTGCACCTGCTATTTGACTGCCTTGTATGGAAATACGGCCTGAAGAGGGAGTTATAACGGTGCTGCCATCATTACCACTATTCATGACAAGTGGACGCATCGATATGCTTTCACTAAACGTTCGCATGTCGCCGCGGATATTAAAATCATGGTAATCAGGGCTATTACTACCGCCACCTTCGGTTGGCTGCGAACCGAAACGTGCTTGCATGATACTTTTTGTAATATGATTTATACTATCAGCTACACTGCAACGATTGGCAGAATACATGGTATTTGCTTCAGAAGAGTCAGCCACAGGAGGTGTCGATTCAGCGCCACCAATATTTCCATTTAATTGTGAATTCTGGTTTTTGCGATCGTATCTAAAGCTGTTACCATGTCGCCGGAAGGATGACCACACTGTACCAAATAGTGTATGGTGACGCTGAAATTTTAATTTACAATTATACAGTGATACAAAAGTAAACAAAAAAATATGCAGAGGTCCTCATATAAAAATTATGTTTTGCTATAGCTCATAGGATACGACTGTACTTATAGTTTTCCTCCATCACTTCGTTTATTACTTTTTTTTCTAATGCCGAATTTCCACTAGGCATTGAAATGACAAAAAGTGTATGCCATTTCAGAAAATGCCATGTGGAAATGAGCTTAATGACTATTTTTTAATGTAATGACACGATTATTTTTTAATGCCCGAATTCGTCATTTATAATTCTTGCCATTTAATGCCTAGTGGAAATCCAGCATAACAAACATAATAAAACTTTGGTATTCTTCAAATTACAACTTCAAGAAATTATAACTTTGTTGTTTTTTGCTCGAATTGTCTTCTCTGTTTGAAAGATACGCGTTTTACCTTTCTAACAAAGAAAAAAGTTTAAAATTGTCCGGAGAAAGGCTAAGTATTTGTCTTTTAATTAAAAAAACGTAAATTTTTCGACAAATTTTCATTTCCTTCACGCTCTTATTTGATCGTGAGGCAATAGAAAAGTATTTGATCTTTATAAAAAAGCACATCAAAATCAGTTTTCCAATAGTCATAAGTAAATTAAAATCGAATAATAAATGGCTTAGTAATGCTTTATTTAGTGATAATAAGTATATCTGTGTTTTCCTTTTTTCTTGGAAATGTTTTCGTTTTGTTTGTTTTTACAGAGACTGAAAATAAAAGTTAAAATATAGTGAAAAATTATGCTAGTTATAGTTTTTTCAAAGGTACCATTAGACTCATCTCACATTGTAAATTGTGATTCCTCCATGACTTTTAAAAATCTGGCTTTTATTATTTTGAGCAAATAATACCGATTATATCTGCTTTTTATTTTTTTAAGGCAAAAATAAAAGTTAAGATTTGCCTTTTATTTTTTTGAGCAGAAAATAATCGGTAATTGTTGCCTTTTATTTTTTCAGGCAAAAATAAAAGTCAAAGTTTCAAACCAAGTATTCCAGAATTGTGTATACTCGAATATAATAGTTTTAAAGCTCCCTTCTGGATTCTAATAACTCCCTAATACACAAATACCAGGGTTAGATCAAATCTAAATATGTATGTACTATGTATAAATACAATACATGAAGGCATTTTTTGTTAACGGAATCAGATCTGCACCGATTATTCGACTTTCAAAACTGAGGTTCCAAATTAAAGTCCTTGGCCTTTAAATGTACAGCAAGGTATAACTTTTTTGGAAAGGGTTGCCCCCTTTTTTTAAATTATAAAATCTGCACCGTTAGTTGCATTAAACAAATTAGGTGTCGAATGAGCGGGCTGGGCAAGAAGGTTTAATTTTTTTGAATAGGGTTGCCACTTGCTTAAAAAACATAAGACTTACACTGTTCGCGCAATTCAAAAAATTATATAATAAGCCATATAAATAGGTCTGAAAGGAAGAACCTCTTATTTTATTAAAAAGGGTTGCCACTTGTTACACTGTTTTTTTGTGCAGAGCATTAGATTTACACCGTTCTCTAGAGTTTCAAAATAAGGTATCAAATGAAAGGGATTGACCTATAGACGTGCTTTGGTTTATTTGAAGGGTCGACGCCTAATTACAACTTCATTGTTTAAAATAGGATAGTAAAATATCACAATATGGGTTTGAGATTAATTTAATATGCTGGTGTTTTTAATAGATTTGCTACTTATTAAACACATTGATAACTATGAATGGTAAGTAATGTATCAAGAGCATTCGATATTGCTATCAATCGAAAGCAATATTAACTAGATGACAACTCTCGAAAATACGCATAATAATAATAATAAATTGGCGCTTACACATATGTTAGTTTTGGCCTCTCCTCTCCTCTGATTTGTGGCGTGCGCCTTGATGTTGTCACACAAAGAGGAGGGACCTACAGTTTTACGCCGACTCCGAACGGCGATTGTATTTTAATGAGAAGCTGTTTTACATAGCAGAAATACCCTCGGAGGTTTGCCATTGCCTGCCGAAGGGCGACCGCTGTTAAGAAAAATCCTTTTTTCTAAATTTTTTGCGATGTTGCTTTGGCCAGGGCTTGAACCCAGGCGCTGCGGAGTGGAAGCGCACACTGCTTACCACTACGCTACAGAGGCCACCGAAAATTGGCATACATTTACACAAAAGCCATTTAACTAGCTGTCGATTGATACCAATATCGAATGGCCTTAATACGTTATTTACCGTTCATAGCTATATATTTTTTAATAGGTGGCAACTCTTAAATGCACGAACATATTAATTTAGTATAAAAACCCTTTCGCTTGATGCCCATATTGCGATATTTTACTGAGTATCATATTTCAAATAATAGATTTATAATTAGGCGGCAGACGTTTAAATAAAAAATTAAACCCAAAGCACATATCTAGGTGAATACCTTTCATTTGGCACCTCATTTTAAAATCGAGAGAACGGTGCTCTGCACAAAAAAGTAATCATTTTTAACAGCTGGCAACCCTTTAAAAAACTAATACGCTCTTCCTTGTAGATCTACAGACTAAGCCCGTTTATATGACATATTATATTATTTTTTAAAATTGCGCGAACGTTGTAAGTCTTGCGTTGTTTAAGCGGGTGGCAACCCTATACAAAAAACTTAAACTTTCTTGCACTTCTAGAGGCCCTGACCTTTTATTTTACACCTAATTTTGTTTAATACACCGAGCAGTGCTGGTTTTATAACTTTAGAAAAGGTGGCAACCCTTTTCAAATATATCATACCTTGTTGTACATTTGGAGGCCATGCCCTTTAATTTGGAACCTCAGTTTTGAAAATCGAACAATCGGTGCAGATCTGATGCCGTTAACAAAAAATGCCTTCATGTATTGTATTTATACATAGTACATACATACATATTTAGATTGGAGCTAACCCTGGTATTTGTGTGAGGAGTTATTAGAATCCAAATCAGAAGGAGAAGAATCAAAAAAATAAAAGGCAAATCTTAACTTTTATTTTTGCCTTAAAAAAATAAAAAGCAAAATTACCCGGTATTATTTGCTCAAATAAAAAAGTCAAAAAATAACTTTAAATATTTATGCGAGCAGAAAACGGGACAAACAATAATTTTGCAAATTTTTCCCATAAAAGCTAACAGTTCTTAACACCTTCTTAAATGATCTTAGATGTATGTGTTAGCCCTGAAACAGCATCCTTATAGTAGCATCACAAATTTGTAGGATTTCTTTTCTCGAGATTTTTACTCCAAAAAATTGTTTACAAAAGCTTCGTTAAACTCTAGTACGATAAAGTGCAAGCTTTAAGTAGCTGATAGGGAAGAAAATTAGCAGCACGTTTCACTTGAACTTTATTAAACTAAATTTTAATGAGCTACAAATCTGCAACCAAATTTTTTTCTAAAGGTTCTGATTAAAAAGTTTGAAATTTTGGTGAAAATTTGCAGAATTACTTCTCATAGTTTTTGCACAAAGTCGGAAATTTTGATTTATATGTTTTTTGGTTAGGAAAAGAGTTTACTTAAAAATAAAATAATAAACATTAAATAAACAAAAGAAATATAGCCGAATCTTGCTAAATTGTAGAATCCTAATTTATATTTTAGTCACTGTTTGTGCTCCTCGATTCGAAACACAGGCATTCAGACTGCTTCATAGGCATGTCATTTTAATGAGCCTTTAAGGCGTCGAAATACCGAAACCCGAAAACGGGACAAATACAGGACATTAAAAGAAATACAGAACATTTGGCGTCCCGTATAAAATAAATTAATTGCCAGCACAATTGGTCAAAAAAGAGGACTGTCCCGTATAATACAGGACGGATGGTCACCGTAAGTATAGGGCTGCCACAATTGCTTGGCCTCAAACGGGGACCCTTTGCAAAAGTTTAGTCAAACTCTCGTTTTTTATTCCAATCATCTTTACACTTATAATCTCGTTCAATTGCAGAGGAAAATTTAGTTGATGCTCTGTTTTAATACATACAAAAACGGAATTGCATAAACCATAATAAATTAAGATCATAAAAACATTTTTACTGAAAGAACGTATTTGGGCAATTCTCACAAACTTCGAATTTTTGTGTGAAAAAAAAATATTTTTTTTTAAACCGTGAGCACATGTCTGAAATTTTTAGTACACGTTCCTTTAGGTGCTAGAATACAACATCCAACGTGGTACAACATTTTAAAGCAAAGCACCATACGTTTTAAAACTTTTTTACGCGTTGTTTTTTAGAAATCGAAAGTGGGCGTAATTTTAGACCGATTTCGAAAATTTTCAACATATAGCTTTTTGTGCCAAGGTCAATAATTGCACTGAGTTTGGTACAAATTTATAAATCGGTTACCGAGATACACATACAGTGAACCAAATAAAAACTAGGGCTAGACCTTTTAGTAAGATTTGGCTATTTTTCTTTGTTTTATTTAATGTTATATTGTTTTTTATGAAAGTATAACTGGTTACTTAACACACACGATATAAAACCAAATTTCAAACTTTGTGCAAAAATTATGAAAAATCTGCAAAGTTTGACCAAACTTCTTGATCAGCATCTATAGACAAAATTTTGGAATCCAGTTTTGTAGCACATCAAATTTTAGCAACCAATTGCAAATTTTAAGTATCTTGGACTTACCGTTCATTTTTGGCATTTTTTAAATTGACGGTGCTCCGCAATTTTTTCAAATAAAAAAAAATTTCCGAACATAAACTGCAAAAATTAACGGTAAGTCCTAGCATCAACGGCCCAAGCTCTTTCATTTCACACCTAATTTTCGAAAATCGAACGAACGGCGCAGATATGATGACATGGACAAAAAATGCCTTTGGGTATTATATATATTGGTTTGTTTTTGGGGCTTTTCTTATTTCTTTTTCGCTGAACAAATAAAAAAGTGGTGCACGAAGATCATAGTTCAATAGTATATTGTACAATAGAGTACACACGTATTTGGCTAAATTTCCAATAGCAGAC